TCCATTAAGTTTGGTCTGAATTCAGGCCCTGCCCTTTTTCTTCGCTACTTTTATAGCCTTCATTGCACGGCTTGCTCATTTTAAAGTTGATCATGCTAGAATTAGATTTCCTTTTTGTGGTTATTGAGTTGCACCAATAATGGGGGGAGGGAGCAAAAAGACTTACCTAGGATGCAATCAAAAAAGAGCAGAATCTTAGTCCAGCATCTCCAGTGATTAGGCGGGAGCGGGACTCAAACCTGCAATCTTCAGGTCATGAGCCTGATGAGTTGATCAATTCCTCTACCCTGCTTCTTCCCCCCTAACTTGATCGAAAACAATGTTCCACTTGCATGTGTTAAGCATATATATAAATGTAACTGAAGTAACATGATTGGAGCTTCTGAGTGCTTAGGCGACTACCTATGAGCTTCAACCTGCTCTTACTTGGAAGAGAAAGTAAGCAAGAAAAGGAATCAAAACGTGTTTTATTTGGAGTCTAAGTTTTAATTTTAGGAAGTCGTGTGGATAGCAAGTGACTTTTAATTAGAATTAGAATTCGTAGCTTATTCGAAGTTCAAATTATATATAGTTAATCTAAGAACTCAAAATTAGCTTTTGAGAATAAACTTGAGGTTCAAAACTTAAGTTTTCTTGGTTCCATCTTTAATTTTAAGGAGTTCTTAATTTCTGTATATTCTACCCCTATCTTCCACGAAACAGAGAAGTTTTCTTGGTTCCATCTTTAATTTTACAAAGTTCTTAGTTTCTATTTATTCTACCTCTATCTTCCATGCATCAGATTCTCTGCTGCTTTCCTTAGGAGAAGAGATATTCCTATGATTTTACAGTTTGATGCATTGGTTTCTCTTTACTATTGCAGTGCTGAGATTGCTAGGGACAAGATTTTTTACTCATATACTCATTCCATCAATGGTTTTGCCGCGGTCCTGGATGAGGAGGAAGCTGTGCAGTTAGCAAGTATGCACAATGCAGTTTAATTCCTGCATGCGGTTATTCTGTTTTCCTCTGTTTTTCTAGATTTTTATTCTTGTTGTTTTGATTCAATGTAGAACGTTTGGATGTGATTTCTGTTTTCCCAAACAAGCCAAGGAAACTGCACACAACTCATTCATGGGAATTTTTGAGATTGAAAAGAGACGGGATTATTCCTTCGGAAGCAATCTGGAAGAAGGCAAGGTTTGGGAAAGACACCATCACTGGAAACCTTGATACCGGTAAATTTCAGAGTCTTTTATCCATTGGATTTCACCTTAATTAAGAAATTTTTATTATATTCCTGCATTGTGAGTTTTTATTATACTTTGAAAACAAACTGCTTTTGGTTAGTCCACTGCTTTGGGTGGCATGTGTGTATGAATCTAACAGTCATAGGATCAATGGCAAATAGCTTTTGACCATCCAATGCTGCTTTCACTATCCTTTCAGTGTTGTTGTCTGTGAATTTAATCTTACAACTTTGATCCAGGTGTTTGGCCGGAATCAAGGAGCTTTTCGGATGAAGGTTATGGTCCCGTTCCATCAAGGTGGCGTGGAGTCTGTCAAAGTGGAAATGGAGATAAATTCCATTGCAGCAGGTCCATTCTTTACACTGCACTTCTTTCACTGTGCACTCGCATGCCAAGTGTGCGTTTACGGGTCATTAGTCTATCAAGCGATTTGTTCAGCTACAATTGATGTTTTATGAGCTCAACCCAGTTCCTTCTATATCAATACAGAATTGGTTAAACCCCCATTTTGGTCCCTCAACTATTGTACGGACCCCCGATTCAGTCCCTCAACTCAAAAAATCCCTGATTTGGTCCCTACTGTTTACCATTTTGACCTCGATTTG